CCCAACACCAAAACCCCAAAACCCCAAAACCCCAAAACCCCTCGTTTGAAACACGAATTGAATTTCTTCATAAGCTGTTCATCCAAATGAAGCCCCTTGTGAAATCTTAATTTAACGTAAATTTTCCAATAAACGATTATGGCCAGGAAGAAGACTCCTACAACAGGGATTGATTATAACCTGAAATGTTGCTAAATCCCTTCCAGAGACAAAGGTAGTACTACTACCCACTCCAGCTGGCTAATTAAGTTAGAAAATAACTCAAGCTCATGACTTTGAATTCTTCTCAATTTTATCTACTGGTAAGGAGAATTTAGCAGTAGAGTTCCGTTTCTGATGAAGCCTTATGGTAGTCACAGATGACCTCTCGCTTGGCTGAATACTATTGCGGGGTAAAGACATCACAGTGAAGTTCTTATCTGACAAAATACCTTCTAAATTGCTGGCACTTTTGGCAGTTGGAAGATTTTGCTGTTTTGATTTAGAAATCTATATAAACACATGAATTCTTCATAATTATGAAAATTATTTATTAGCCAAACAATTTCTGTAACGAATCATGATACACAAAAATGTCAAAGAAGGATTTGGATATGAAGAAGGTACATAAGATCTCTTTGGAACACAGAATCGAAAAGTGAATGCTCACATTTGATTCTGGTCAAGATTGAAGAGTATAGTTCGATTAGGTAGAATTTCTGGACAAATTTTCAAAATTGCACAATTGGGATACTTCCTTCTCAGCAAAAATAAAACTTACCATTTCTTTGTTTTTAAGGTATCTCTTAGTCCTATCTCTGCTTTTCTCCTTAGATATCTCTTTTGATTGTATTTGGTTTCTGGGCTTCCTAGGTTGAACTCCAGAAGATCTAGGAAGCATATTTATTTTATTAAGATTATTCTCCTTATCAAACGTAGAAAGAAATCCCTTTTCTTCGATTATCAATTCTTCAGCTTTCTTTTCTCAAGAGATGAGCTGGAGCTGTGGAGCCATAACCTTCACCCCAAACTCTTTATCACTAGGGTTGAATGAAGGGAGTTCTATAAATAAACATGAGCAATTGTCCGCTTAACATAAATTTATCAAAATAGCACTTCCAAGCATCTAATATCGCTTTATAAATCTCTCTTAGCGACCCTATACTTCGCTACATACCAACAATTAGGTACTCTCAGGACAATATTTCCATATTTAAAAATTAAATTATAAAAACCAGTTCTTTTCTTGTCTTTGTATATTCTTGTACTACCAAAGTCTCTATGCTTAACTGCAAAATTATTTTTGAGAGTTTTTATGCTCATAGGGTGCTTGGCTAGAATTCTTGGAGCCCTAAACCCCTTTGACACTTAAAATGGGAGTCTCTTTGGACACAGAAAATTCTTAACAATTTGTTCAGCGAATTTAGGACCAGCTGCCAGCTAATTCGCTGTTGGGCCTAAGGGAGGCTAGGTGAAGAGTATTTATTGGGGAGATAAGAATTATTAATTACTCGATGTACAATAAAGAGAAATTTTCTTAAAAATTTGATTTCAATTACTCTTCTGTTAAACAATAAGCATATCTCAACTCTGCTAAATTATCTTTCACATGAGCAAAAATTTAGTATTCATAAATTTCTCATGAGAGTTTATTAATGAAGAAATTTGATATACACCTTTAGATGAGCATTTTGGAGACTGAGTTTATCATCAGCTTTAGAAAGATTATTACCTTCGCTCTCTTTGGACTTAGCGCCAAAAGAAAAATTAAAACTTTCCTTCTTTCTCATTTTGGAAGGTTCGTTCGATGTATCTGTGTCAGTTGGACTATTGCTAGGTGTCCTCAAAGCAGATATTACGTTCTATAAGGAATTAAAGAGAAGGGTTAAAAGTGGAGTAAATAGAGTGCACTCAAAGAAATTTAGAGACAAATAGCTCTAAGAAAATTTTAATCCTTACTTCTTTTTTCTCCATTTTTACTATTTTTTCAACATATTTGTTCAGCTTTGGGGTTTTGGGGTTTTGGGGTTTTGGGGTTTTGG